GATATAAATTTAAGATGTATCCAGAATATAATAAGCTAGTCATTTTAAATGATAATTTAGTATTCAGAGGATGGCTTTTCTTGGTCTTTTATGTCATCACGCTATAATATTTTCTCACAGAATTATATATGAACTTTACACTTTCTGTCCCTGACATGTTATAAGTACTTAGTACTTTTTTTTTCTTATTTCTATCTACCCAGAGAGTGCTTAGAATCATGCTGCTGTTCATGACATATACATGTGCTGAAGTCAACCAGACCCTCACCTTGGGCACATAAACAACCCCAAGATGTTTGTGCTCAAACTGTCTCCAGCTATTTAGGATTATTAAATCTCTTCTGGGATGTTATGGATTGTAAATGAGATAACATCTGCACCCTGAAAGAGTTAGATAAATGTCACCTATTATTATTATTGTAGCTGTTAATCTGATTAACTTCATCTGGCCAGTGTTCTAACTTTAAGTAGCTGATGTAATCTGTTTCCTAATAACTGTGAAAGAGTTGTATTTTCATATGAAAGATGATCCTTTCATTACTGGCCTAAGCTTCTGCATGAACTTGAAATCTTACAAATACAAAGTGTTTCTCTTTATTTTCATGCTTTCCCCTCTAGTGGTCTCACATCTGAAATACAATTACAAAAATAAATACCTTACATCTTATTTAGAAAGTGACCCAAAGAACTTTGACCACCATGATGATTTTTTTCCTGTTTTTTTCCTGAATTCATCTTCAGCATTCCCAGAGAAGTTGCTTGGGCTCCTTGTACAGTCTGAAGAACAGATTAAAAATTAAATTTTCTGACATTTCAAAATGTACTTTCTTAATATAGTCTGCTTAAGGAATTACATAGTCTTAAGGTATAAATGGAATTCATCAGTTGTGATTTTTTTCCTCCCAGAACAATAAAAGAGGACAAGAGACAGCCATTTATCTGTACTTTAAAGTAACTCCAAGAGAGACATTTTAAAGTATTTTGAGCTTCCTCCATCTATGAAACTGAAATGGAAGTAAGGAAAAAAAAGGTCTTGGGTTTGGTCTTACCACTGACATTCTCCCTGGAATGGATTCCTCACCTTTGGGTGGCAACAGTAAGTACCACAGTGATGAAGTTAAAAATAGAAGGCCAAATCCATATGACCCTAAGTTGGCTAACTGAATTCAACAAACATTTATTAACTGTCTGCTGTATACAAAGCACTGTGCTAAGTGCTAAAGATGCAAAGATGAAAAACCACACACAGTACCTTCCCTAAAAGAGCTTCCAATCTAGTCGGGGTTGGGTGGAGAGAAGAGGTATATAATTCATACACAAATGAGTATAATAAAAGAGTGTGATAAAGGCAAAGGAGATTCAGACAGAATAATATATGAAAAATCTGAGGAAGGACAGATCATTTGGCTAGTGGGATCAGGGATGGCTAAGTATAAATTCCTGAGCTCACCTCAAAAAATAAAAAATTCCAGGTCTGCGACAGTACACATTATAAAGGCCAGAACAAAACTAAGTTTATTAAATGGTCTTCTGGGAAGCTGAAGGAGTTAATTAACTTCCCAGAAGGTAAGCAACATACTCATGGAGATATTTCCCTACCAGCACTAGCTCAATCTCACTAGAAGATGAAGGGTTCTTAACCTTTTTTTGTCATTGACCACTTTGACAGCCTGGTGAAGCCTATGGACCCCTTCTCAGATTAATGTTTATAAATGCAAGAAATAAAATACAGTGAATTATACCAAGGAAATCAATTATGCATACTGAAATGTAGTTATCTAGCTATCTCTTCCTCTATCTACCTACTTATCTATCTCCCTTAAAAAAATAACAACAACCCCAAAACCTAGGTTCATGGATATTTGGTGAAGAATTTCTGCATGATAAGATCCTGGTTTCTAAAGGTGAACAGTACTATTAGAAAAGCAATTCTAAAAGCACACCAAACTACTCTGGATAACTTACCACAGTTACTGTAAAACTCAATTGACACAATCTGTACTTTGCCATAAATTCCCAGGGTATCTATTTTCTCTGGTTCAATTCTGTGTCTGTAGGACAATAGACGCTTTCCATTCACAGCCACCTATGAAAATAGCAGAAAACTAGAAATATACTTAAGCTAAAGGCTTTAAAATTTAATTTTAATTTAATTAATTTAAAATCTTGAAGTTCTGGATAACTAACTGAGTATTCTAGTTTTAATATCTAGTCTTGGAATTAATTTCATTACAACAGTATAACTAGACTTGGAAGGGATTTTATAGGTTATCCAGTCCAATCCCATCATTTTACAGATGAGGCCCTGAGATGTTAGGTGACATGGCCAAGGTAATAGATGGCAGAGTCAGGATTTGAACTCATTCCAATGACACCAAGTCCCATGCTCCAAGTTGAATAGTCTTTCCACTGAACCATGTTGTCTCTCAATACTTTCTTCTTTGATCTTACAACATGTTGGACCATGACATGATTAAAAATCATATTTCTTCTAAACATTGCCTATATTAGCAGTCAATTAGCTCATGTTTATTAAGCTTTTACTATGTGGTAGGCACTGTGCTAGAATTTCACTTTAATGCTGTACCACATTGGGCAGATATCTTCTTACTCCAAGAGACATGTAATTTCATTACTGTATAAAGATGCCAACTCATCCTGTGTGATTCTTGTCTATGTCCTCCCATAAATCATCCAGAGAAGGTCTATCCAATGTGTGATTGGTCTCCTTCTACTTCTTCAAACTCCTACTTTCTTCAAACCTTAAATACTATTTAAATGCTTCTCCTCCTCCTCCTTGTCCACCTCCTTCTTCTTCATGTCTCAAAAATCTTAGTGTAATTTTAAGCTATTAAAGCTATTAAAACTTAAAATTATACAACAATTTGGAGGATACATCATATTATAAACATGGTCATCGTGGTACCTCAATAACTAACTCCCCTTGCATAGAATCAGAGACATAGAAAGTGGATGCTAGAATGCTATGGTAAATACTGTCATAATGTGTTTAGTGTAAGAATATTCTTCATAAGACAGCATAAGCACACATTTATCTGCTGCCAACAGAATACTGTTTGGAGGAGTTAAGTCTAATCAATGACTTTTCAAATGTTTTGCCCTTCACACACAGGGATAATGGATTTCAAGTTCACTATGAGTCTGCAGTAAGATACAACAGTCAAAAACCAATACAAAACAAAAAAAGATAACCTAATGCAATCTTGGGCTATGTTAGCAAAGGCATGATGTCCAAAATGAGAGAGGTACTGACCCTGTTATATATACTTTGCCTTGCACAGACTACAAATTGTGTATTCAGCTTTAGGCATCACATTTGAGGCAGAACATTTACAAACTGGAATGAGTCCAGAGGAAGGAGACCAGGATCGTGGGGGAACCTTGAGTCCATTCCACATATGGGTCACATGAAGGAAATGGGAATGTTTAGCCTGGACGACCAAACAGAAGAGATGGCAGCTGTGACTTCAAAAGGGATTGATCTGTTTGAAGGGCATTCATGTAAAATAGAGATGCAAGGGCAGCTTGGTGGTACAGTAGATAGAGCACCAGCCCTGGAGTCAGGAGGACCTGAGTTTCAAATCTGGCCTCAGACATATAACACTCACTAGTTGTATGACTTTCAGCAAGTCACTTAACCCAAATTGCCTCACCAAAAAAAAAAAAAAAAGATAGAGGGAAATAAAATAGAGATCCAATTGTTCTGTTAGGGCCTAGAGGGCAGAGCTAGAAGCAAAGGGCAGAACTTGCAAAGATACAGGTTCACGTTCAATGAAAGGAAAAACTGAACCTAAAAATAGTAATGGAGTGTGCTGAGTGAGCTGTCCAGATTAATAAAGTAGAGTTAATCCCTGCCTGGCTAGGATTAAGACTACCACCTCTGGCTATGTAATGGGAAGCTACCTCATACTCATGGGGGTGCAGCCTGCCAACTTACTAACACAATGTTCCGTGATACTAAGCTAAGTCATTGGGTATATCTACATGGACCAATGCAGCAACATTTTACTCCTAGGTTTTTAACCCATTTAGAAATGAGTATTTTGGGGGAGTATTAGAAATTAATTCACTTTACCTCTCTATGTATTTGTTTCCTTAGCTTTAAAATGAGGGGATTAGCCCACACAATGTCTAAGGTCCCTTCCAGACCTAATGTGCTATGAACTTATGTTACCCAAGATGGTAAGGTCCTAGAAAAAAGAGAGCTCTTATCCATGAAAATGCCTAGCACACTATTATAGACCCTCCATAATTAAACAGCACCTAAAAGAAATCAGGTCCAGAACCAGGTAAGAAGAGCCAAGAGCACAACTTACACAGTAACTATGGTAATATAAAGGAAAACAATCAGAAAATACTTAAGAACTTGGATCAGGGTACTGAGCAATCTTGACTCCAGAGGACAGACAATGGAATATAACTCCCTCCTCCCAGCAGAGAGATGGTGGACTACAGGTGGGAATGAGGCCTATGGTCTTAGACGTAGTCAAGGTATTAATTTGTTTTGCTTCTTCTTTTTCTTTGCCACCATGAAGGGTTATATTGAAGGATTGTGGTATTGGGAAATAATAGCATTAAAGAAAATAATTTACAATGGGATACACCTACTTTGGGCTAATTTAAGGAAAAGTTTCTAAGTTTTTCCAATGAAAGAATTTAGGGAAGGGGAATCTTTATGGACAAAGAGATAAACAAAATTAAAAGAATAAAAGTCAAAATTAGAAGTATGTTTAGTAATTAAGGTGAGTTCCTTTGCAAAAGGCTGTTGAAGAGATTCAGAATTTAATGTCCAGAATGTAATAAAATTATTCCATTTCCCATCCTCAGCTCTGAAACATATAATGTTTGACAAAATCACCCTTCCCTAGTGCATTCAGTTAGCTGAAAACAAAAGGATCTACCCACAACAACCCTTTGGGGAACATATTCCAAAGCTAGCTTAGAGCAGTAAATTCATTAAGTTACAGACTGAACTTAGTGAAAATCTTCCCTATGAATTTATTTAGACTTGGTGTCAGAAAATCTGGGTTGAAATCCAACTGGGGGCAAGTCACTGTACCTCTCATGGTCACCTTTTCTTTACCTGGAGAATGAGGACATTGGACTAGGTCACCTTTAGGGCTGTTTCCAACTCTAAATGCACGATGCTATGAAGATCCTCTACTGGGGGGTAAGTAAATAATTTCTCTTTCCCTCAAACTGACCTGGAACTTGTCCTTCAGTACCATAATCATGATCTCAAAAGGTTTTCCTTTTTCAAAAGGCATCTCATAGGTGATCTCTTCCCATCTCCATTTCTCCTTCATCAGGGTGTTGCATACGATATAGCCTAACCTTGTGAACTTCGGGTTAAAGTGGAAGGCTACATCGGCTCGGGGCTTCACGCTGCTGCCACATTGGAAATCCACCTGAAACCTATTTGGAGAAGAGCATGAGGCAGGCCTTTTGTCTTTTAGAAAGAGAAGAAGATAGTTTCAAACCTTGTACTTTGCTTCCTTAAACCTCCTCCCCTCCTCCCCCACCACTGCCTATTTCCCATTTCCACTCCAAACCAAAAAGCTATCACTCACCTACAAACACTCCTGCAGTCTAAGCTCATGCCCTAATTCTCTTACACCAAGACAGAGTGTTGCACCAAGATTCTCATAAACAGTGATAAATTCCCAACACAGATCTTGCATCTTCACTGGCTGTCCCCCAGGCCTGGAATTCTCTACCTCCTTGTCTCTAGCTCATGGTTTCCTCCAAGTCTCTGCTAAAATTCTGTCTTCTTTAAGAAGCCTCCATTAAATGCTAGTGGCTTCTCTCTGAGATTACCTCCAGTTTATCCTGCATATATTTTGTTTGTCCATAGTTGTTTCCATGTTTTCTCTTCATTAGAATGTGAGCTTCTTGAGGGCAGGGACTGTTGTTGCCTTTCTTTTGTTAGCATAGTTTTTGTTATGCAGTTAGCACAGTGACTGGCTCATGGTAGTAAGCTCAAGCTTACTGAGTTAACTTGACACTTATAGTGCCCTGTATTATTGGCTGCAATATTTAACGTATATCTTCAAGTGACGCTCTGTTTGAGAGATAAAGGGAATTATTTGGATCCTAATTTTGAATGGCCTTAAATTATTCAGCACTTCAGGTCACTTACTTGTTTCTGAGATATTCCAGCAGAAAGAAATTGTAATGGAAACGTATTTATAATTTGAAACATTCTTTGTTTATCTTCTCCACCCCAGCTGAACTGGACTACTATCACAATTTCCCCAGCTGGTGCTAGCATCTTTTACCTTCATGCATTTACACAGGCTTTTAGATACAGAAGAACATGGTGGAACCAAGGGTCATTTTGAGGAGTTGGGGGAGGAGGAGAGGGCGTCTCTTTGGCCAGCCAATATAACCTAGAGCTGATATAGCATGGAATGCCTCAGACATTGAAACTCATCTCTTAGGCACACACTGAATTTGCAATGGTCCAGAGCCTCATGGTCTTTGGAAATCATAGAATGCTCAGATGACAGATCCTGGGCATTATGGGAAAGGAAATATCTCTGCATAGTGTCTAAGTAATTGAGTCCTTCATTCCTATAATGGTTTCTCGCTCATTTCTGCCTAGTGAAGACATTCAAGGTCCAGATCAGATGCTGCCTGTGCCCTGCACATAGTAGGTGCTTAATAAATGCTATTTCGACTGACAGACCTCCTTTATCATACCTTCCCTGATATCCCAGGGAGATGGCATTCCTTTCCTCTGAGAATTTCTTTATTCATTCTGTTTGACATTTACTATGGATGCAATTACGTTTTAAGTTGTAGGATAGTTATTTGTCAACCCATCTCATCCTCCCAGCACATCTGAAGGGAAGGGGTAGGTTTTCTAATACCTCATTCCACTTAATCTACTCTCCTCCAACTACAACTTTCAATACTTGTTTATCCTTGCAGGGGATAGTCTGACTCTTGATGTTGAGACAAAGCAAGTCAAGTAAGGTCAACAAGCATTTATTAAGTGCCTACCATGTGCCAGGCAAGAATTCTGCATATAAACAAAATAGAGAAATAATCCAAAAACATCATTTCAGCTATTGCTTTCATCTTCCACAAATCTTTTTGTCAGAGCTGCAAAAGCAGAAGTGAAAGTGAAAGACACAAAATCATCTGCAAACAGCAGAATCAACCTAACAACAAAAACAGCAATCAGGAAAATGAAAACATCTTAAAGAAATGTCACCACCCCAAATATTCAGAGTCTCTAAACTATTTAGAATAAAAAGCTTTAAAATAGAGAGGCCTAGCAGAGGAGATCAAAGTTTTGAGGGAACAGGTTAAACTAGGCATATTATCATTGTCATGAATTCTTCTGTTCTCCACAAATCTGATAGGTAAACTATTCCTTGCTCTCCCAGTTTGCTTATAGTATCAGCCTTAACCCTTCTCAGCAATGCAAGGATATAAGACATCTCCAAAGGCCTCCTGATGGAAAATGCTATCCACATCCAAAGAAAGAACTGTGGAATTAGAATGCAGATCAAAGCATAGTATTTGCTCTTTTTTTCTTCTGTTGTGTTTTGTTTCCTCTTTCTGGTAGTTCTTCCTATTGGTTCTAATTCTTACTTACAACATCACTAATGTGAAAATATGTTTAATAGAAATGTATATGTATAGCCTCTATCAGATTGTGTGCCATCTTGGAGAGAGGGGTGGGGAGAGAGGGGGAGAAAAATTTAAAACTCAAAAGCTCATGGAAGTGATTGTTGATAAATCAAAATAAATTAATAAAGGTAAAAAAAAACAGAAAAATGATTATAAGAAATTTAATGAAAACTGTTCTCATAGCTCCTAAGAAAATGCCAGATGAAGATGTAAAAATCTAGATAATTGTTTATGAAGAAGAACCTTCTCTACTCTTTGGTAATACTATTTGCTTTCAAGATTCTTTTTTTCCTGGATGATGACATGGGGCTAGAAGACCAGGATTCAATCTCAACTCCTTAGTCTGCTTACATGCACAACCTTGGATAAGTGCATGTCCCTGAGCATTGGTTTCCTCATCTATGAAATGGGGATAACGAATAACACTTGTACCATCTACCACAGTGGGCTGTTCTGAAGAACAAATTGAGGAACAAATTTCCACGACCTTATAAAAGCTCAGATAGCATCATTATACTTTTCTTCAACTCCAAAAAACAACAAATTAAGTAACGTGCTTTACAAAGAACTTAATGTAAAACACCTGAGATACTCCTGAAAAAGTGCCACACAAATACAGCTCATAGTCCTTTTTATATGACTGATAATTCTGCACACCTCAGCTTCTATTTAATCTAGTGACAGATAAGAGAGAGAAAAAAATCCAATAACTTCTCTGCTACTTAGGCATATCAGGCAAAGTCCTACATAAGGTCACCGTCTGCTTCCTCCAAATTTGTATCCCTGGTGATCTCATCTGCTCCTACTGTAATAGCATCCTAACTTGCCTGTCTGCCTCCATCACTCCCTTTTTCAGACCATCTTTTCACTAAGTTTCTAAAATAATACGTGGAAGCGTTTCTTTAATTTCAGAGTGCTATATAAATGAAAGCTGCTATATATAAGCATAATTTCATGAGCAGAAAGAGCAAGAAATTTCCTAATGGTTTTTCTTTTGCTCCTAGCCACAAAAATTCAATTTCTTCCTTATCTTTTCCCACCTAACATAAACAAGGCAGAGGACCCTAACTATTGGGTTACCTGTCTGCATCATCGGGCACATGACCATGGATGACAACCATCTTTCCAGGCTGCAGCTCCTCAGAATGTGTACCAACATATGGAATCACCTAAGGAAGAAGGAGACAGGGTTTTCTCTCAATTCACTTTTGTTAACATGAAAAGAAATCATTTTATTAATCAGTGTTAACCAAAAATCTGTATGTCAAGTGGGAAACAATAGACTAACCAGGGGTGAGGAACCTGCGGCCTCGGGGCCACATGTGGCCTCCAGGCCACAGGTTCCCCACCCCTGGACTAAACCAAGAGTATAGGTGATATCTAAGGTCTATTTCAGTTCTAAAAACTATGCTTCTACCATTGGATACTGGCAGCCAAATTTTTCTAAACTCTCTCGGCCCCTCAATGTGCTAGACTTAGCCAACTAGCTGCCTCCCCATCTTTCCTTGTCTTTCAGAATCCCTTTCTTCTTTCAAGACTGATCTCAGGTATATAATCAGCCCCTGGACACATCCACAGGAAGCAGAGGAATCTGAGGGATGGGCTTGAACCAAGATTCTCTCCTGTCCAGGATTATGGCCAAAGACTGGTTATAGGGACCACCTCCTCCCTGTAGACTTTTGATTCCTACACCTAAAAGCACTCTTCTGCTTCTCAAACTTCATTAGAACACTGTTTTGCTCCAACACTTCTTACCTTTGCAATATGCTTATCTTGTGTATATCTCCCACCTAAGGAATTCTTAAAGGGAGTGCCATTTTTTTTCTTTGTATCCTCAGATCCTAGCACAATGCCTAGTAAACAGTAGGAGCTTAATAAACAACTGTTAAACAAAAGAAATGCTCAGTAGCTGAAGGGAGTAGCAGGATCAAACAAAAGGACTCTTTTTTTTTTTAAAGCCCGGAAAGACCTCTGTGGTTTTTGGCAAAATTAGAACAATGAGAATCTGATTGTGTTACAGTGGGAGGAAATAAGTTTGGAAACAAAATACCTCAGAAACAAAAAAATTGTGACTACAGCACAGGCTGAGGAGTTAGTTTTAGACGGTTCTTTGCTATTTCAGCATATGAACTTTCACAGGTTAGTGACCATGTCACTTTCTCAAAGGCCCCATCCTTGTATAATATACCTTGTAGTTATTCAGTGAACACCTACAGCAATAAGGGATGTATGCCAAGACTGAGATGGAAAGCAATTAATTTACTGTTGCCGGCTCCACCCTTTTCAGTAAATCTGAATGGAGAGAAAAATGAACCTAATTCGTTGGCATCATAGCTCTTGAAATTCCATTAAGATGCTACCTGGAGGAAAAGTGTATAATGAACAAGTGGGGGAAGGGGTAGGAGGCCAGATAAACAATTTACCTTTTGCTTTCTATGATTCTATGACAACTACAGTTTGCATCGTCTGTTAACTATAAGGGGTACAAGAGGGAAACTTTGAAACTCAACACAAAAATTAAAAGAGAAAAATCATTTTATCCACTACAGCACCTAGCTGAGCACAGTATAAGCATTCATTATGTACTCTCTAATGAGTTGTTTAGATGCATATGAAACAATACATTTATGAAAATAGGAACCCAAACTTTTTCAAATCTACATCACAAAACACCCTAATGGACTATCTGACCTATTGGGAGCCTCACTATGTCTTTAGACTCTAGAACAATAGGCAACTACAAACCAGAGAGAGGAAGAACATTAGTGAATTATGGGCATTCAATATTATATGTATTTAATAATAAATCAGATTCAAGACTTTATTTTAGACATTCATTTCAGATTGCCCAGCCCTCTCATCCTACTGTGGAACAGAGAAATTTCTTTAAGGGGCTCAGATTCTTAAAATCTAGCCAATAGCTAACTAATGTTCAGACTCCTTAAGAGTCTGGCCAATATGGCAGATGTTTTAATAAACCTTGTCTTTGGCTGAAAGAAGGCTTGGGTTGAATTCTTTGGGGCAGGACCTGAGTGTTGTGATTTTGGGGCCCCAGCACCCCTAAACCCTTAAATCTCAACATTTTGGTGACCTGTACAGGGAAGCTGCCTAACCCCAAAATTTGTTTATGGAGAGAGTACTACTTAATATGGTTATGTTTAGTTTATTTATGAGGATGTGAATGAAATTAGAAATTATCTAATGCCAAGAATCTCACTTTATCCAAGAGATATAACTTCTTCCCTCATGTTTTTCATCAGACATTTAGTAAAGAGCAAAATTAACAATGGTAACTATACCACAATGAAACGGAAGGTTTTAGGAGAAGAAAGGATATAATTAAAGGGCCTTCTCAAGCCACAGTAGGTTTAATTATCCCCTAAATCACTGGGGATTGGCTGCCTAACCCCAAGTTCTTCTCCAGCCAAGACTGGAAAGTATGAGAGCCTCCCCACCTTTTTTCTTGTCCTGCAGTTGGGGTTTCTCTCCAAGCACCTAGAAAGGCTTGGCTGCATCTTAGGTAGACAGATAGGTAGGTAGGTAGGTAGGTAGGATGTGCTTTTTGGGCAGACAATTACAAGGCTGTCTCACACTTGGTCTGACACTCTCAGGCTCTCAGTCCACTGGTTCAGCTCGAGGTCATGGACCTAGGTACACCTTCCACAGCATAGAGTTTAAGAAGAGACACCCTATCTAGAAGCATATGCCCAATTTTGTCAATTCTCTCAGCGCTAGAGAATTGGGAAAACTGCAGGTGCTCTTTGGTTCCCTGAGGCTTACTTACTCCCTTTCCTCTACACCCCTGAATCCTCCTTCATGGAGGTCACAGGGAAAAGTTAGAACAGCTAAAAGCATCTTAGCAGATTCTACAGGTTTTGCAGTTGATCATTAAGGAGTTTTGAAATACCTCCTTACAACCCTGGTCACTCCCTTCTCCCACTCCCTTCCCTTGAGTTAAGAGGGTATCTGTTAATCCCTCTCATAGGAGGAGATCGTTTCACCCTTCCACTCCCCCCCAATTCACCCTCTACAGCATGGGCCCCACTGGCAATGGCTTTCAGCCCTGGGGCAGCCTTTCCCTGGAAGCATCACCCAGGTTCAGCACATCCTGCTCAAGGTAAACAAGCTAGCCTCCTAACCTGGGTAAGTATGCTCTTTTAAAGTCGTAGTTTTAACTGTTGATGATGAGATGTTGATTCTCTGTGTAAAGTAATTTGGAAATGCATTTAACAAAATTGAAATCGCCTGATTGGCAATGGGTTTGTTTCAAGTTTTAAATTGGTGAACTTTTTGTATTACTTATGTCAAGCAAGTTTTCATAATTTGGTTTCTGCTAAAATAATTTGGCGGTTGTTGGTTATTGTTTTAATGTGTAAACTTGCCAAAAACCTTGTTTAGATAGGTAGATAGATAGAGGTAGACAGATAGAAACAAACAAAACTAAACTAATAGATAGAGGTAGACAGATAGAAACTAAACAAAAACTAATTTCATGGAAGTCAGTTACCGGATTGTGGATGACATTTTGTGGATTACTTGAGGGCATCATGTTGTCTTTCCAAACGGTTGTCGATCTGGTTCTCTCTTCTGTCATTGACCTATGGATTTAAATAATTTTTTTTGGTTAAAACTTGGGGAATTCCCCCAGCATAAAATGAAAATTTAAAAAACTCAAATGGAGATGAAAACATTCAACCAAACAATCATTCAACAAGCATTTATCCAGCCCTTCCTTATATGCCAAACACTGTGCTAAGCACTGAAGAGACAAATACAAAGAAAGAAACAATCCCTACTCTCATGGAGCTTACATTCTAATGAATATAATTCACCACTTTCCTCCAAACATAACTATTTTTCATGCAAGCTTCTTGTTATTAATCATACTTATATAACACAGTGCAATTTAGGCCTCAGAACAATTAAAGAATTGTTCCAAACCCTTACCTGGTTTATTTACAAATGAAATTCCTTTAATTTAAGTGGTAGAAACCAGTACACACCATACAACACAGGGTTTATTAAACTTTCTTGAAAAACACAGAAATGTAATTACAAACAATACTTAAGCCATAGCCCCTAATTGCCTGGAACATTCACCAGAAGCAGTAATTGGGTCTGTGGGAAAAAAAAAAAGAAAGCCAATCAAGTAAAGCTTTGAGTTTTTGGTTGGTTTCTTTTTTCTATCTCTTTATCAATAAAAACAAGTTCTTTGGCAAGGGAAGTGCAAGGTCTAGATAAGATGCATGAGACCCAGGCAGGGCTTTCAAGAGAAAACCACCCACTTGAACTTGATGCACAGCATTGCCTGCAGGAAAACCTTAATTACTGTCCACCAGCAGAAAAATAAACTAAAACTCCCTCGAGCCTATTTTCAGAAACTTTGCTTTTTCTTTTTTTTTTTTTCCTGTATGTCTCCACACACCAGCCAAAACTGTAGCTTGGTCTCTCTCAGCTGAAAACTGCAAATGTTCCTTTGCTCCACACCTCAACTTAATCATAATTAAAAGAAACAGTTAAGGATACAGTGACCTACTTAAAGGCACATTCCATTAACATTTCTTTTGGTGAAAGGTTTATTTTAAGTGGATCAGCCAGGGAGAACCCAAGCACAGCCAATACTCCCACCAAATTCCTTCAATAGGATGAGAGCCTTAACTAGGGTTTCTGGCAAGTCAGGAGAGGGAAACTCAGCTTCCTGGTGTGTTGCTTTTAATCTTTTGTTATTATTTTTTAAAAATTTTAACCACAAGGTGACTCAACTGCTGAGGTCATACGCTTTTGAAAAGAAGGGCAATTAACAGGAATCCTGGGGAGCTGCCATGAAACTAGCTCTAAGGGAGTACTGTTACATCTCTGCAAATGCTGACTTTCTTACAGAAATTAGGAAACAGTGGGAAAAAACACTGGCACTAGAATTGGGTTCAAATCTTGCCTCTGGTGTCACTGCTTGTGTGACTTTGGATAAGTCCCCTAACTTCAGTTTCCTATCTATATAAAGGGGATGGGGGGATTGGATTAAATGGCTTCTGTGGCCCCTTCACCACCCATAGATTGGGGGCAATGAACACTGGCCCCATAGAAGAGTGGGGGAGAAGAAAGAACCAGATGGTGGGGGTCCTGGGAGCGGTTTTACATGTAATGGTATTTCAATGCAAACCGAGTTGAGAAGGGTTAATAGCTGCCTAAGCAGATCTTTACTCTTCTAGGACGATTCTTTCCCAACATCTCTCCATCCCCACTACTCTCTTTGATAACAGAGCTTTTCCTTAAAAGGTAAAACCTCCTTCCTAAACAAACCCACTTCCGGATAGGTAGAGGGAGGTTGTGCAATTGTGCTGGAAAGGTTGCCTCCTAACAGGCAAGAAGAAGTTCGTTGCAAAATAATTTGTTACCGGACCGGGCACAGGGAAATCTCTCCAGCAGTGGCAGCCAGACCCAAACA